TTTTTTTTCTATTTTTTTCCTAGTAGTCTGCACAATGGTCTCAACATTTAATATATACCGCATGGGCGAAAAAATAAATAAAAACCAAGGCTCATGGGCTTTAAGCATTTGTGTTAAAACAAAGTGGCGCCAAACAGTAAAACTGCATTTGTGTCATTTGGAGGCAAACCCACACGTCAAATCCTTGGCGGGAAAATCAATACGCCCAATATTTTCATCAACTCAATCTTTCCCTCTCCCATTAATCAACATCCATCCTTCTTCTATCTCATACCTCACTCAGAGAGGAGAAGAAGATCGATAATCGAAGGTCACTTTGGGAAGCGACAGAGATCGATTTCTCCGTATTTTGTCCCTTGGACATTCTAGATCGGTTTCTAGGGTTCTGCGATGGAAAATCGGAAGACGATCGGTCAGGAGCAGCCGAAGAAGTCGAATAAGCGGAAGAGAGAAGCTTCCGCGGCGATTGAGAATTTAAGTCCTGAGGAGAAAGAAGCTCAGATCTCATCGTTGAAGCAGGAGACGGTTGGGCTTTTCGAGTATTTCAGAGAAATGATTGGTCAGACTCAGACAACAGATCTGTTTCTAGGGTTGGGCGATTTTTCCGCGTCAGTGAATTCCATGGTGGCTTTGTTGATGGAGGAGATGAGCTTGCCGTTGTCGAAGCTTGTGGATGAGATTTTCATGAAATTGAAGGAGAAGATGGAAACTCTCACCATTGCTGCTGTCAAGAGCGCTGTTGTTTCTGTCGGACAGAGACTGAGTTACGGTGTGCCCAACCCAGACGCCGATCTTTTGGAGGATGATACTGAATCTTGTCTCTGGTGCTGGGAGGTAAATTGAATCATTCTTCTTCGATTGCTAGTGTTTTAGAGTTTCGTAAAATGGATGGTAATGGTTTTTCAGTTCCCAATTCCTTTGTTTAGATCAGCAGGAATGTTTCACTATTAGTTTGGTTCTTGTATCCTATAGTCTCACTGTTTGTTGCTCCGGTTGGGTTTCTGGCTTTGAATCTTGTTATAAATTTGGTGTGATTTGTTTCGTTGGTGATATCATCTAATCTAATGTTCCTGATGTAATGTTTCTTTGATTTAACAGACGAGAGATCTGAAAATGATGCCCAAATCGGTTCGTGGACTGCTAAAAGTTCGCCGGACTTGTCGGAAGAAGATCCATGAAAGGATTACAGCAGTTTCTGGTAAATATTTTTCTGTTGATGATTGTCATCGATTGTTTATAAGATGTGGAGGCTTATGTGTGTTTCACATTTCAGCAATGTTAGCTGCATTACAAAGAGCAGAGACGGAAAAGGCGTGCAGATCTGATCTTAGCAAAGCTGCTGAAAAGCTTGGTAAAATACTGAATGAGGTAGATATTCGATCATTCATGGATAACATGCTGCAGAAGAACAGCACAGAGATGTAAGTCTCTTTAGTTATTGCTTGGTTTATATGTGTCTCTTCTTTTATTGTTACTCAGTTATTGTATTGGTCTTAAAGGGCTGAGAAAGACACAAAGCGAGAAGAGAAACTGCTGCTTAAACAATTTGAGAAAAGTAGATGTGAAGCTGAGAAAGAAAAGAAGAGAATGGACCGTCAAATATTGAAAGAAAGACTGCAACATGTGAGCTGATCTGTTCCTTCATTGTCTTCTGGAATTCTTTTCTGGTGTTTTCTGTTTTCTTTTGGTCATCTGCCATCTGGATGTGCTTTCGATTTTGAAATCCGACTTCTGACTGAGCAGTTGTCCATTGTTTTCAGGAAAAGGAGCAGAAGGCACTTAATGATGAAAAAGAAAAGGAAGAGTCTGAGTCGAGAAAGCGGATAAAGAAACAGCAGGATGAGTCAGAAAGAGAGCATAGACGTAGAGAGAAGGAACAAGCCGAGCTAAAGAAGCAACTTGAAGTACAGAAACAGGCTTCAATTATGGAGCGGTTTCTTAAAAGAAGCAAAGACATTTCATTGACCCAACCCAAACTTCCTTCTGGTGAAGTGACAGCTCAGGGTCCACCATGTAAAAAAGATGAGAATGAAACTGGAACAGTTATTCAGGCTATTGATAATGCCTTTTCAACAACTTGTGAAACTACAGTTGATGATATTCGCAGGTATGACAGTGGTTTTTCTTGGTGATTGCTCTGCAAGGTGTCACTTTGGGTATTGTGATCTGAGATATCTTTCTATTTGTAGGGCACACTTTGCTTCCTGGCGCCAGTTGGGTCATTTGCTCTCAAGTTCAAAAAAGCATTGGGGGATGCGTAGGCAGCCTAAGGTTGAGCTGTTTCCAAAACTAAAACTATCTACAAGTAAGGGAGCAACATCTGAAGGTGAACCTAACATGGAGAAGCAAGGGAATGAATGTGAAGAGAAAAACTTGGGCGGTGTATCTTACATTAGGCAGTGTGAGTCTTCATCATCTGATCTTAAGAAGTACAGGAGAGCCAAGAAGTTGTTACAGTTTGATAAAAGCTGCCGACCAGCCTTTTATGGTATCTGGCCTAGCCAAAGGTTAGTTTTTATTTGGGAAACCATTCACTTTTAGCAGTAATCTAAGTTAATATTAGATTATTGGTTAGTTTTAGTTAGTTAAAACTATTTATGAAGCCTGGATAAACTACACGCTTTGCTGCACGGCTTTTTTCTCTGCAAAAGTCATGAAGTTTTTATCAGCTGCCTATGTGACTACCCCTTTTTCATGCTGTTTAATAAAGAAAAATATCGTCTTCAATACTCCGCCACAACTATACCCTTCATGTTCACTTGTAGAGGTGTATATTGGATATGTGGTTGTTATCCGCTTATGCATTCAATCTGAATTGAACAATCATTGTAGCTAGCTTTTAATGTAAAGAACGTTTTGTGTGATTCTGCTAGATTTGCAACAATACATCATATTCTGATATACATCTGGCTGATCAATTTAATAGAAGTGATTAATCTGTAGTCAGTCTCTAAGTTTGCTTACAAAGTATGTGTTCAACATTTACAGTCAAGTTGTAGGGCCACGGCATCCTCTGAAAAAGGATCCAGAATTGGATTATGATGTTGATAGTGATGAAGAATGGGAAGAGGTAATTTAATGGATTTCGATACTTGCTTTAGGAAATTATTATGTTGTTTGCAACCCAAAAAATCGACAAGCGAGCACTGTGTAATAGGGTGCTTTTTGTTTACAGGAACAGCCTGGTGAAAGCCTTTCAGATTGTGAGAACGATGAAGAGGAATGTTTGGAAGAAGGATGTTCAAAGGCTGATGATGACGATGATAGTGAAGATGGCTTTTTTGTGCCTGATGGTTATCTCTCAGAAGACGAGGTAGCAAAAGCCCTTTTTTATTAACTAACTCGTCATGGATTCTCTATATCTAAATTGACAATCTAGGAATCTATAATATAGCTAGTCTCGCCTTTATTTTGGAGTACTCGAACTATTGGGCAAGTTTCAACTTGTATTCCTCATTCAGTCTCACGATTGATGCCTAGATTTCTTCAGAGCATGTGCCATTTTTGTGAAGGGGTTTTGTTAACTGAAAATGTGTATTAATGGAAACTTGGTGATTGTTTCTTTCAGGGGGTCCATGTGGACAGAATGGACATTGATCCGTCTGAACAGGATGCAAGTTCGCCTCCATCTAAGCAAGACAAAGAGAGTCCAGAGTTTCGAGCATTACTACATCAGCAAAAACATCTGCAAAGTTTGACTGAGCACGCACTGACAAAAACGCAGCCACTGATCATATGTAACCTAACACATGAAAAGGTCCCTCTCTTAACTGCTAAAGATCTAGAGGGGACACAGAAAGTGGAACAGATATGTCTGCGAGCTCTCGTGGTGCGAGCAGTGCCTTGGTCTTCACCCATTGTGATATCGATCAGTGAAATGCAAGATGAGGATGAAGAAGCCGGAAAGTCATCTTGTAGTCAAAGCACTCCTCCGTCTGTTTCAAGAGCAAGATCCATACCAGACTCGGATTTGCTTACAGTTGTGAGTGGATTTCTCTAGGCTTTCTTTAAAGAACGTATTATATATGTAAATGTATATTGCTTCTTAGCTCTAACAAGAATACGGCTTCCAGGTATCAACAATTCAGTCATGCTCTCAAGGTATGAATAGGGTGGTTGAAACATTGCAACAGAAGTTCCCTGATGTTCCAAAAACCAAACTAAGACAAAAAGTGCGTGAGATATCAGATTTCGAGGATAGCCGTTGGCAGGTTAGTTCTACAATTTGTAACCACAAGATTGGTTAATTTTTGGCTTGAGACAGATCTCCTTATCAGTATTTTTATTCTAATGCACAGGTAAAGAAAGAAGTATTGACAAAGCTTGGGTTATCGCCATCACCAGATAAAGGTGTTAGGAGGCCAAAAACGATATCTACCTTCTTCTCGAAACGCTGTTTGCCTCCATCGACAAAGCCACCCGCAGTTGAAGAGGCAGAGCGATTAGAGAATGAGAATGCTTAAGTCTCCTG